TCTATATCCTTTACTGATTGGTTCCAATAGTTTTTAAAAGCTTGCATCTATTTGGGGGAGGGGGCCACATCCAGTGGTGCTCAGGGTCTCCTCCCGGCTCTGTGCTTAGGTTTCACTTCTGTGAGGCTCCGAGGATGTCTGCAGTCAGTCAAAAAATACCCAGGCTAGGGGCTGGAGTGCTAGCACAGCGGGGAGGACATTTGCCTTGCACGCGGAAGATCCTGGTTCGATTCCCAACATCACATACTGTCCCCTGAGCACCGCCAGGAGTAATTCCTGAGTGCAAAGCCAGGAGTAACCCTTGTGCATTGCCGGGTGTGACCCAAAAGGCAAAAAAAAAAAAAAAAAAATACTCAGGATAGTGATTAAGGTCAAAAATAACTTCTAAGTGACTCAGAGACTGTATCTTCACCGTTCACACCACAAAATGACATAATTCTGCGACTGGTCAAAACATTGTCTGGGTTTACGGTGGTAACCACACTATGATACCGAGTGTATCACAGATCACCAGGCACACCTTAAACTCACAATGTCATATGTCCATTACGTCTCAGTAAAACTGTGACTACAACCGTTTTTGAACGAACAGTTTCGCTAATACCATCAAAATGCTCTGACTTCACCCACTGCTGTTTCCAAGCTAACAGTGCAGCTGAGCAGCCCTGGGTCTAAGGAAGAGCTGCAGTGGGTGGAGGAGCACGGGGTGGGGCTGCCACGAACACTTAGAGGGACCCTGGGACCCTCCCATCTGACCCTGCTGACCCCTTTGGTCCAGAGCCTGTGAATCCACCTAGAAAGGGAGGTCCTGAAGGCCAGCTGCCCTGCACCCCCTGCACCTCTGCTGGGCCCACTCCAGCTTCTACTCCTGGCTGTGTTCAGACTGGCCTTCCACAGGCTCCCAGAGACAGTGAGATGGATGCTTGATAAGCCAGCACACACCGCCCCACCCACTCAGGCCTCACACTTCCTGTTTCGTTGTAACGCTCAGGGCTCAGTCTCGCTCTGTAACCAAGCCCTGCAGTGCCTCAATGACCCAGCCCGCCCCAGCAGCCCCAGGGGCCTCCATGCAGGCTGTGCCCTGAGAATCCAAAGACTCACATATGTTGTGCTTCAGTTTCAGATTTCAGACTCTGGAGAAGATTCTATTTTGCCAAAGGCCTCGTGACCCTGGATGCCTTTGTCATGTTCCATTTTTATGTCTGGAAGAAGGTCCGTGCAAGAAAGGAGATGAATGCGAAGAAACAATGAATAACTCCATGGACCTGGCCTCCACACGGAAGCCCAGACCCAGGCAGGAGGCCGCTGTCCAAGCTCTCAGAAGCTCGGGGTGGAGCGTCCCCCCAGTTCCCAGGGATAGGACACTTGTACGAATCACTTCGAAAGCCTTGCCCTTCTGAAGGAAATTCGTGTTCATGCTTGAGTTCCTCATTTCCCGTTGCAATTTCTGTAACCTAACTTCCCTGTAAAAATTAGAAGTATTTTGTCCAGGTTGAGATAGTTGATATTTTTTGTTTTTGTTTTGTTTGTTTTGTTTTGTCTGCAGATATCCTCCGCTAAACAATACGGGTATGGGACTCACATTGACCTTCATGTCCGATGTTGCTGCTGAATTGCTTCTTGAAAAAAACCCTCAGGACTAGAGCAAGAGTACAGCAGGGAGGGCATTTGTCTTGCACAAGGCACCCCAAGTTTAATCCCTGGCATCCAATATGGTCCCCCGAGCACCACCAGGAGCAATTCCTGAGTGAAGAGCCAGGAGTAACCCCTGTGCATCGCCAGGTGTGTCCCAAAACAACAACAAGAAAGTCCTCAAAGTATTTCTCAATCGCCCCTTGACTGACAAATCCAAGAACCCCAAAGATTTCTTCAACGTGTGTGCCTGTGTGTGTATGTGTGAGAAAGAGAGAGTTGAGATTCTACTGTTTTTATTTTACTTTGTTACATACATATCATCTTCAAATATAGTTTGTGCCTGTGTGTCAAATATATTGGGTTTGAAATAATTAATATCACTTAAAACCTCCAAGTCATGGGGCTGAAGTGATAGCACAGTGGGGAGGGCTTTTGCCTTGCACACGGCTGACCCTGGTTTGATTCCCAGCATCCCCTATGATCCCCTGAGCACCACCAGGGGTAATTCCTGAGTGCAGAGCCAGGAGTGACCCCTGTGCATCACCAAGTATGACCTAAAAAGGGGAAAAAAAACCCTCCATGTCATGATATAGTCAGAAATGTCACAAAGTTGAGGATAGTGGTCTCTCTTCTCTGAGCAGTTCCAGCAATGGGAAAGAAATGGTCGGCCCTAAGAGAAAGGCCAGTGAGGTTAGGGGACCTGTGGAACAGGGGCACACCCCCCACATAGACACACACAAACTCACACATACACACACAGAGGCCAGCTTATATTTGCCTATGTCCAGCCACCGAGCATAGGACCTTAGAATCAAGGTTTGCTTTCCACAGAGTGGCCTGGACATGGATCCTGCTCTGTCAAGTCTCCGTGGTCCTGCGGCCTCTCCAGCTCCATGTGCCTTGTCTTCTCTGCCCTTTCCCTCCGCCTTTCCTGCCTTTGCTGCCCTGTGGTTGCCACAAACTCTACCTTCTACTTTCTGAACTGCCGACCCCAGGTACAGTGAGGGCCCTAGGAAGAAGACAGGTCCCCCGGCCAAAAATTCAGTCTCCCCCAGAAATTTCCCCCATGAACTTCCTGTCACGCAGTGCCGTTTGGCCAATCCTCACAGCCAGGGAGGATGGGAGATTTGTGTCCCACCAGGCTGGGTCCTTCCCTCACTGCTCCCGGGTGTGGAGGGTTTGTCTTGTTTTAGCTGGAAGGGACTCACCACGGCAGGTGGGTGCACTAGCAGTTCTGTTTGAATGCAATCTGCCAAGCTGGACAGTTGCCCCATCAACCCAATCAGTGTCACACCAAGCAGGATTCGGGCGAAAGAGAAAATCTTCTCAGGACCCACTCGGTGCTGACCGGAGCCATCCGAACCCAAGGGCACGTTGGCACCCTTAGGTTCCTGCAGCCCAAGGCCCCGGGAAAGGCCAACTGTCACCGAATCTGCTGTTTGCTTGATAGTTAATAGTCTGGCCCAATGAAATTATCACACACACACAGAGTTCTAGTCAGAGACTTCGTTTTCTCCTAATTACAATTTATGTATTTCTTTAGTATTTTTGGGCCACACCTAGCAATGCTCAGGGGTTACTTTTGACTCTGCACTCAGGAATCACTCCTTGTGGTGCTTGGGGGACCATTTGGGCTGCCGGGGATTGAACCCAAGTTGGCTGGGTACAAGGCAATTACCCTCCCTGCTGTGTTATCGCTCCAGCCCCTCCTAATTGCAATGTAGACTAATGAAGACAGGAGATTTTAAACTACTTAGCACTGCGGTAGTACATTCATACAGTATATTGCTTAGGTCTTAGGCTGCATGCCACACAGAATTCAGTGTCCAGGGTCTCACTGCACCCCATCTAAGTGCGCAATGAGGCAGTGCCTCTTCAACGCCTGTCCTGCCATTGACTTCTCAGTGGCTGGAACGTTCAAGTTTGGGTGACAGAGACAGGCAGACCCTGGCCTGTGCCCAAGCAGCAGCCAGCCTGCTGTCAATGACATCACAAGGTGAGAAAGAACAAGATCCGTGTAGAGTCAGTTCTGGAATGGGCCGGAGCTGAGAGTCCACAGCACCGGAGGTCAAAATCCCAGAGAGAGAGAGAGAGAGAGAGAGAGAGAGAGAGAGAGAGAGAGGTCAGGGAAGCAGAGGGGTGGGTGTCTGGAGTGGAGAGGGGGGTCGGGTTTGCAATGCAGCATCGGCAGGTGTTGTGTAACAGATGCCCCTCCTTGGGGGACTGTGTGACCCCGAAGCCAAGGCAAGAGGAGTCTGGAACACTCTGGATTAGGATCAAGAGAGACCAGACCTAACTGCGCCTGGAGAAGTCCGCAGGGCTCATGTGGTGCCCCTGAAGCTAAGGTGTTGGAGGAGGTTCAGCGAGGGCCAGGGCAGCTCAGGGGTCACGCAGCGGAAAGTGTCTAGTGATGGGGCAGCAAAGAGACCTGGAGGAAAGGACTCTCCCTGCAGAGGTCTCCCTGCCAAGGGGCAGGGCCTGTTGGCAGCTGAACTGGGTTGAGGATGGTGTGAGAACACGGAGGGAGTGGGGGGACGCTAGTCCCACAGGAGGGGGAGTTGGTGCTGGAGAGGCTGGCTGGGGCGCAGCGCACTTGGAGAGGCTAGAGGGACCCGACCCAATAAAGCCAGGGGTCATTGGTGGCCAGGATCCAGTCTCCCGACACCGGGCAGAGCGTGGACACAGGCAAAGGTGCAGCCTTCCCCGTGGAGGCAAGGCTCTGCGGCCAATTCCCTCTATTCCGGGTGCCCCCGCTGGGGTGCTGGGGTCGCACATGCCTCGCCTCCTTGGGGCCTTCAAGTGTGCGTGCAGGAGGCCAGAGCATCCGTGGGGTCCGGGAGCCTCCCACAGGCCCACAAGGGAGCGGCTCGGCTCCAACGCCGCCAGCGTGGAGCATCCGGCTTGGCGTGCATCCGCTACCCCCCAGGCCCTGCCCTGCCAGCCCCAAGTCCGCCCGGGCCCCGTGCCCGCAGACCCGCCAGCCGCCTCCCGCGCTCCAACGTGGCAGCGCCAACTGCGCCTGCTCAGCACACGGGGCGGGGCCGAGGCCGAGAGGGGTGTGGCCTATAGGCTCGGGGGCGGTCGAGGGGCGGGGCCTGGAGGGACGGGGCGCGGGCCAGGGAGTGTGGGCTGGAGGGGCAGGGCGGGGCGAAGGCGAGGGGGCGGGGCCTAGAGGGGCGGGGCGGGTGCCGAGGGCGGTGGAGAGGGGCGTGGCCTAGAGGCGGCGGGGCAGGGCCGAGACCGCGAGGGACGTATCCTAGAGGCGCGGGGCGGGGCCGAGGCCGGGAGGTGGGCGTGGCCTTGACGTCAGCGCGCCCGCGGGTCGGCGGGCGGGGCTGTGCCACGTAGCGCGCAGCGGCCACGCCCCCTCCAGGTGGCCGGTCCAGCCCGCGCCCGCCCGCGCCCGCGTCCACCGCGCCTCGCCGCCGCCGCTGCAGTCCCGCGGACACTCAGCCGCTCGCACCATGTCTTCGCCTCCCGAGGGCAAGCAGGAGACCAAGGCCGGACACCCGCCCGCCGGTACGGACTCGGTCTCCCCCGGGGGTCCTGCGCGGGGGGTTGGAGGGGCGGCGGGGGGGACACGGGTGTCCACACTCGGGCCGGGGAGGGCTTGCATCCCCACGCTGCCGGGACCGTCGTGGCCTTCAAGTCTCCCGAGGGTCGCAGACCTCGGGGCGTGGGTGCAGATCCGAGTAACTCGAGGAAGTTGCACAACTTCAGCCTCTTCCCTCCCAAGACGCCGCAGAAGTTGGGGCGCCGCCTTGCTCGGCTTCGGAAAAGCGGGTGTCCGGGCCGGACTGGGGGGGTCCCGGGCCGCGGGGGCGGGGGCGGGGCTGCTGGTGGGCGGCCAGGACAGACGGACCCCCCCAAATCGCTGGGCCCACTCTGCGTCCCCCCCGCCCGGTCCCTCGGGCCCACTCCGCGCCCCCAGCTCTGTGCTCCCGCAGCTGCGGCTCCGAAAGGGCCTTCGGGTCCTGTGGTTCCGGCCCCTGGAATTCCCACCCGAAGAAGGCCAGGAAGGCCCCCGCTTTCCTAGAAAATGGAGCTCTGGGCCTGCCCTCGGTCCACTCCCCCACACCCTTTGCCCTCCCGACTCTGCAAACCGTGAGGCTGGTTCTCCTGCCCTTCCCGGGGAGGAACACGAACCTGGCCTCTGGGTCGCACCCAGAGCAGAGGTGCGGCTGGTTGGGGAGGGTCCTGGCTCTGTGGGCCAGTCGGTGGCCGGAGGTGGGCTCCTGGCAGCAAAAGGCCTTGCCGGAGCCTGGCAGCGTGGGTGCCCCTGCCCGCTGCCCCGCCTTTGGGCACTAAATCTAACTGGACCCTGGGGACGGCAGCAGCGTGGAATTGGCCAGGCAGGCAGCGGGTGGCATTCCCCAAGGGGGTGCGGAGGCTCCCCGGGACTAGTCACTGCCCCGAGGAAGGAAGTCGGCTGCACAGCCCTGGGCACCTGGGGGCAGTGTGGGCAGGGAGGCTAGCTTGGTTTGTGGGCGTTGTTCCTTTGGGGAAATGAGAGCTTCCCCTGAGGGTTTTCCTCTAAGCAAGCCCACCTTTCACTCCTGCCCCACCCCCCCAAATGACCCAATGTCCACCAGCTTGGGCGGCTGGAGACGCGGAACGTTTCCTTGTGCCGATGGTGTGATCAGCAGCCGCCCCAGATCCCCAAGTCCCTGCAGGGCGAGGGTGGGGTGTATGTGGACGGTCCACTGGGCGATGCCACCTGGAAGGAACCCAGACACACACAACATGAGGCGTGTCCACAACCCCAGCTCAACACGGGGGCCGTGAACTCCGGGGAGAAACTTCCGGAACTCGGGTTTTCCATGAATCACTGTGTTTCACCCTGTGACTTATAAGTAGCCCACTTAGGTCTGAGGCAGAAGGAGCCTGGCCACAGGGGTCAGTGGGACAGCGAACTTGGGGGTCTCACGTTCTGATGGTGGACGCTTGGCTCGGACACAATCCTACTGCTCTGTGAGGGTTGGGCCTTGTCAGGTGACCTCTGGAAGGTCCCTGGGTGGGACAGCGCTTGCCTCCTGCTCGCGGGGTTCCCCGCTTTGGGCAACTCTCCCATCCTCCACTCCTGGTGTTCAGGTGGGTCCTACTGGCTCCAGGCCCCCCCCCAGCTAGCTGGCAGCCTCAGAGAGGTGTCCTCACCAGCATCGTCCTCATCCCTGTCCCTCCAAGGCTGGTCACCTGGGCAGAGGTGGAAGAAGGGGCTGGCCCCGGGCACAGATGATGCAGGTTACAGGGCCTGTGGGGGTCACGGTGCTCTGCCCCCCAGCACCCCGCCCTGCATGGCGCCCCACCCTCCCCATGGGACAGAGGCCAAGTGAAAGCCTTTTCTGTCCGGAAACTCAGCGAAAACCAAAACTGAGGAACCCCGCCCCCACCCCCAAACCCAGAGCACTACTCAGAACTGAGAACTGTAGCCTGGGAATGGGGCCGTGTAGGATAACATTGGTTTGTCCTTCCTCCCTGGCCGCAGGGAGCTTGGGTTTGTGGATTGCTCCCATTCACAGTGCTCCTGAGGCACTCCCATACCTCGGTTTATCTGTAACCTCTTTCTCCTCTTTCTCCGTGCTCTGTTCCCCCAACCAGTCAATCACCTTTGTCTCCTAATCAGACGCTGTTAACTTGTAAATATTGCTTTTCTCTTCTCCTTATGCCCTTTGCATCTTGGTTACTTCAGAGCAATGTTCTTTTGGTCTGGACACAAGAAGATGGTAATTCTCTGCTTTTGTAACTTGGGAGTTAGTTGGCTCCGAGTGACATTCACTCCTGGGCATCTGCTCTCTCGACTTGAGCCTCAGTTGCCCTTACTTCCTAGCACCCCAAAAGCAGGGTCCCAACGAGGGCCTGGATGGACCCAGGGCAAGCTGTGAGCTACCCTGACATCAAAATGAGCCATGCCAAAGCTCCCTAATACTTAACTATAAATTAAGAGCATTCCATTCTGGGAAAGGAGCGATAGCACAGCGGGTAGGGCGTTCGCCTTACAGGCGGCCAACATGGCCGCCCCGAGTTCGATTCCTCCGCCCCTCTCGGAGAGCCCGGCAAGCTACCAAGAGTATTCGGTATGCCAAACACAGTAACAACAAAGTCTCCAATGGAGACGTTACTGGGCCCGCTCGAGCAAATCGACGATCAATGGGAGGGCCTTATATTATTATATAAGAGCATTCCAGGCTGTAACCCTCGACTGGAAACGGAGCTTCCCTCCAGACCTCTCTTCCTCTCCCTCAGTGCTCACTGGTGATCGCCGCCGTGTGAAGGGCAGTGTGTGTCCGTGCCCCCCACCGGCCCCCAGCTCCCTCTCCTGGTCTCTCTTGTCTTTCTCATGCTGGATCTTCCCGACCTGCCCCTTGCCCCCATACTCCACTTCGTAGTTCCTAGTGAGCTTCTCGGAGCTTGTCCCAGTCCGTGCCCCCAGCAGAGCTGCCTGCTGGGGGTCCCCTCTCCACCCCATCCCTGCCCTGTTGCGGACAGGGAGCTCAGCCACCATCATGCTGGAAGGAGGGACCAGCCGTGCTGAGGGTGAGGTTGCGGGGTATGGGGGAGGGAAAGAAGCTTCCCGGCTCCCTGCCACCCCCCCCCCCGCCTGCCTGAAGGCCCCCCTGGCAGTAAAACCTGATGAGCAGGAGAAAACCAAACCCGTTCCACAGCGTGTGTGGGGCAGAGACCCAGGAGTGCAGGGCAGCCCTCGGAGAGCAGCAGCCGGGGAAAGGTGGAGGGAAGGAGTCGGGAGGGACCCGGGAAAAACCCAAAGGGATGTAGGGTCGGTTCATGGGGGCAGCCCTGGGGGTCCCCAGCATCCCTGGGTCCAGGAATCATCCGTCAGGCCAGCATTGCCCGGAGGGACCCCTCGGCTTCCAACGTGGCTGGGCGCTCCCCTTGCCAAAAAAAGAGAGCGGATGGGGAGAGCGAGAAGGAGAGAGAGGGAGGGGGAGAGAGAGAGAGGGAGAGAGAGAGAGAAAAAAAAGAGAGAGCGAGCGAGAGAGCTTGTCTCCTGCTGGCTTTCCAGTTCTGAGAACCAGCCATCCAGGTCCCATATTTTACTCCCCCCCCTACAAATTAAAAAAATAAATCAGTCAGCAGGATCAACAGGGTATGGAGAGTGAGAGAGTGACAGAGACAGAGACAGAGAGAGGGAGGGGGAAAGGGAGAAAGAGAACTTTGAGCACTGGTGGAGGGGCCGGAGAGACGGAGCAGGGGGTCAGGGGCTTGTCCCACATGTGGTTGGCCCCAGCTGGAGCAGCCCCTGGGCACTCTTGTGTACGGCTTCGTGGCTGCGGCCAAGATTAGCCAAACAAACCCCTGGGACCTGTAGTGATAGCCCAGCAGCGGGGTGGGGGTGGGGGGGGTGGGGGGGGTTGTCTGGTACACGATAGACCCGGGTCCCATCCCTGGCACCACAGCACCACATAGGGTTCCCAAGCCCTGCCAGGGGTGATCCCTGAGGGCAGAGACAGGAGTACACCCTGAGCACTGATGGATATCCCTTCCCCTCCTGCAAAACAGGCTGAATCATTCTGATGGTCCCAGGACTGACCCTCCCCAATACCAGGAACTTGGGGGGTGGGGTGCCTGCATGTGGCTCACCCTGGTTTGATCCCCTGCACCGTTGGCCAACGCCCAGCCCCGCAGCACCGCCTCTGCACACCTTCAACGTGAACCACCAGCCCAGCTGGCTGAAAATCTCTGGGAGGGGCCCCTGGGTACCACTTAGGAGATTGCAAAACTAAAAAGCTGCTGGTGACAATTCCCTCGAATTATGTCCCGGGGCTGGGGGCCGCAGTTTCAGGTCACCCCCACTCTGGGTACCGAGGGGAGCTGGTTCGTCTCTTACCGCATTAAACACAAAGACGGGAAAATCCCCCAGCTCTTGGGTTCCTCCCGGGCTGTCCGATGAGTCAAATCAGAACTACTCAGATTAGCAAGTGTGGACACTGAGCTGATTTTGTCGGGCTGCGGAGACGTGTTCTTGACTGGGTCTGTGCCCGGGTGGTGCCAACCTCCACGAGTACAGGAGGCTGCCGGCGGGGGCGGGGGGGATTGCGCAGGGATCGTGCCTCTGATCAGGAGAAGGGTAAGAGCTTCCCAGCCCTGGGCAGCGGGTTTCAAACCTCTTGGTCCTTTGGACCAAACCTATTATGGTCCAAAGGAAGGGGAAGCTACTCAGGGTCCCCCTGGAAATCTACTTCCTATAAACGAACACACAGAAACCCCACCTCCCCCTCCCCCCCCCCCCACACACACATACAGGCACCAATTGCACCTGAGTCTAGTACTGCCCCTCGCCTTGGCCAGGGCCCCTCGTATCACGGGGCAGTGTGAGGGGCGCTGTCACCCACCCTGAGCCTCTTTCTTCTGGGCTTCACTCGACTGTCACCACACTTCACTCGACTGTCTCCCCATGTTCCCGGGCCAGAGTGAAAGTAGAGAGGGGAGGCACTTGCCCTGCAGGTGACCAGCCACAGTCCGACCCCTGGCACTGCTTTTGGTCCCCTGCGCCCCTCCAGGAGTGGGCCCTGAGCATAAGGCAGGAGTAAGCCCTGAACTCCGCTGGGTGTGACCCCATCTCCCCTCTCCCCACCCAACCTAAAATTCGTCAGCATTCTTCCAGCCTAGGAACAGCCTTCCGGAAGCCCAGGCCGTTGCTGGCTTCTGGTCCTGCAGACTCGGGAGACTCATCTGTGTCCAAGGCCTGCCCCGGGCAGGGGGAGGCGTCCCGGTACTTGGAGGAGACCAGCCCTCCATCTCTGCCTCCCCACGGCTCCCCGGTCACTGAGGCAAGAAGCAGCATGGGGACGCAGCTGTCCCCTTCCTCCCTGCCCTGGTCAACCGCTCCTGCTCCTTGCAGCCCCCCCTCCCCCGCCTCCAGCCTGGCCCGTTTTCCCCGCGAGCAGCGCCCGCACCTTCCACCTTCCGTGTTGGCCTGCTGCGTGCCTTGTCCCCGGCTTCTGCAGTCTCACCCTCGGATGGGGAGCGGTCACTCATTTAATTCGGCTCTGAGCCCAGAGGCACCCGTCAGCTCTCGGTGCAGTGGGGACTGTGAGGACCCAGCCCTTGCCCTCACTTTTGGCTCCAATCAGCATCTCACCTGCACGCACATGCCAGCCTCTCCCTCACAACGCCACACACCTCTCCGGGTACTCCCGCACGGCAGACATCTGCGCCCCGAGATCTGGCCCCTGGCCCCGTCCCCCTGGAGGGCCCGCGGGGTCCTTTGACTGAGAGGGAACTCGGAACCCTTCACCTCTGAAACTCACTTGGGCGATCCAGCGGCCACCCCCAGGCTTCTTGCTCACGTCTCTCGCACAAGAATCCCTGCTGGCACTGGAGCGAGAGCACAGCAGGGAGGGCATTTGCCTTGCACACGGCCGACCCGGGTTTAGTTCCGACCAGCATCCCATATGGTCCCCCGAGCACTTGGAGGAATAATTCCTGAGCATCACCGGGTAGGACCCAAAAAGCAAAAAAAAATTAAAAAAAAAAAAAGTCCCTGCTGGCCAGTGACTCTGCAGGATTCTTCCCCCTCGACCTCCCCGCGGGGCGCCTCTCAGACAGCCACGATAAATCGGCAGTGTCATGTGTTTTGGCAGGCCGGCGAGTTAAGACGAAGCCGCCTCTGCCTGAGTGACTGTCGTAATTCCCGCTCCTTGGGGCTGCGTTCGTCACGGCTCGCACCAGGAGGGAGCGGGCAGCTAATCGAGTTAGGGCAGCACTGGAGGGGAGAGCTTCCCTTCCCGGAGAGGCGGACGTGGGGCTGCCATGTCACTCCCCCGCGGGGGGGGAACGTCCGAGGGAGGGGGATGGCCAGGAGGCTTTGCTAGTGTCGTGGATGGTTCCGAGCGTTTGCAAACTGGCGTCTCTCCGAATGGCCCCGATCGGACCCACTACCCGCCGCAGTCCGGGTTTTTAGCAGCAGAGATGAGTTCTCTGCCCACCCCAGGGCTGCCACCGGCTGTGGGCCATCCCAGCGTGGCAGGTGACCTTTCTTCTGCAAAGGGAGGTGGCCTGTGGTCCAGTCCCCACAGACCACCCCCCACAGGGAGAACCAGCACGTGGAGGGATGGAGCCCCGGCTGGACACTGCCGTGAGGGCAGGGAGGAGGGACAGAGAGAGGCGAGAGCACGGGGCAAGAGGGACACCCACTCAGACAGGGCGGAGGGCGCTGAGGGGAATATCACGCGGGACATGGAAAGCAAATGACCAAAACTGAATCTGAGGCTGGAGCGATCATACAGCGGGGAGGGCGTTTGCCTTGCACGCGGCCAACCCAGGTTCGATACCCCTCATCCCATAGGGTCCCCTGAGCACTGCTAGGAGTAATTCTTGAGTGCAGAGCCAGGAGTAACCCCTGTGCATCGCCAGGCATGACCCAGAAAAGCAAAAACATAACAAAACAAAAAGCAAGATCCGTGAGTGGAGAGAAGGCAGACCCCATGAGCACCCCTGGCGTGGCCCAGGAAACAGAACTTAAAACGCATCTTGGATTTTGCAAAACCACGACAGGATGGGCTTGGGAGGTGTCTGCCTGCTTGCGGCCTGGAGAGGGTGCCACCTGGTGGCCAGGTTGCGCAGTCCGTGTCAGACCTGCCCTGGTGCCCCCTGGAGAGCGCAGCGACAGCACCGCATGGGGGTGTCTGAGTGGCTTGGGAGGAGGCTGAGCTGGGTGCTGGGTGCTGCTGGATATTGAGTACAGGGTGCTGAATGCTAGATGCTGGTGCTGAGTGCTGGGTGCTAGGTGCCAAGTGCTGGGTGTTGGGTTGGAGGTGCAGGGTGCTAAGTGCTAGGTAGGTGCTGGGTGCTAGGTGTTGGTACTGAGTGCTAGGTACTGGTGCTAAGTGGTCCATGCTGGTGCTGGGTGTCAGGTGCTGGTGCCGGGTGCTGAGCGCTGAGCGCTGGGTGCTGGTGCTGGGTGCTGAGTGGGTGCCAGTCAGGACTGTGCTCTCCCCGACCACTCACCGTGTCCCCTGCCCAGGTAGCCGCGCCCCCGGGCACTGCTTGCGCTGTTCATGCTCACTCTTCCCTCTTCTCGTTTCAGTGAAGGCCGGCGGGATGCGGATCGTGCAGAAGCACCCTCACTCCGGGGACGGCAGAGAGGACAAGGACAAGGACGAGCAGGAGTGGGAGAGTCCCAGGTGGGGGCGTGGGTCACCCACCGCGCGCCGTCCAGTGTCTGCCGAGCGCGTGAGGCCCGGTGTTCTGCCTTGTGTGTGCTGGGGGGTCTGAGCCAAGCCCGTGGGCCCAGCGTCCTGCCCTGCATGTCCCGGCCGGGGTCTGGGCCTGAGGGTCTCTCTGTGGCGTCACCTCAGCCCCTTGCCTAGCAAGTCTCTTGGGGTCCTGTGCAACATCCTCACCTGGGCCTGGGGTGACGGATGTCGACTGTCTGTGCTGCTGGGGGAGGGTGTGGCCAGGGACACTGCCAGGGGAGAGTGGTTGAGGGTGTGACCAGGGCTTTGCTGGGAACCGGTGGGAACCACAGACTCAGCAGGGCTGGGTCAGCAGAGCCTGGTACACAGCCCGGATAGACCGTGTAACACGCCCCAGACCGTGTGTCTGTCCGTGTGAGTCTGGGACACATTTAAACAACAAACCCAGGAGAAACCTTCACGAGTGTTTGGACTGTCTCAGTGCTCTGGCCGGGAAGGTCACGGCCTCTGGGTCCCTAAGTGCCAGCTCTGTGCCCTGCCCAATGCTCCCGCCCTGCAGACCCCTCTCTGTGGTTCTGGGAGGGTCCCGGACGCTACACGCAAAGGTTTCTCCCACCCCTGTGTGGCCCAGGGCACCTGGAGGGGACCATTCCCCAGCCCACACCAGCTCCCCTCAGCCCCCCCAACCCCCCCTGGTCCCCAGCACCAGAGGAGGGGGTATAGGTGGCTGGGCTGGTGCCCCCCTGGGCCCTCCTGGAGCCCATGCAGGGGAGCACTCTGCATTTGGCCAGGCTCACCACTGGACGGCCCGTGCTGACCCTCCGGGCCCCCAGTGACCTGTGGTCACCACTGGACGGCCCAGGCTGACTGACCCTCCAGGCCAACAGTGACCCATGGTCACCACTGGGCAGCCCTTGCTGACCCTCCAGGCCCACCAGTGACCCGCAGCTCACCACTAGACGGCCCACCCAGAGACCGTGCCAGGGAGATGGTCGGCGCTGCCCTCGTTCCTGCTCCCTGCGGTTCCGGAGCTGCTCAGGAAGCCTCCCGGAGGGAGAAGCAGGAACTGCGGACCCAGGGCCGGGGCACAGCGGGGAGGGCCCTGCCTTGCACGTGGCCCACCCAGTTGATCCCCGGCATCCCATTTGCCCCCTGAGCACCTCCAGCTGTGACTCCTGAGCACAGAGCCAGGAGTAACCTCCACAGCACCCACCGCTGTGGGCCCGGGTGTCCCGGAGGGCAGATGGAGAGTGGGTTTCTCGCTATCACTGCTCCCCCCCACCCCAGGCCACAGCTGCTTGTCCAGAGCACTGCCCAGGGGAGCTCCTTGCTGTCCCCTCTTCCCGGAGCACTGTTTGGGAGAGCGCCTTGGCTGCCCCCCTCTTCCTAGAGCACTGTCCAGGGAGCTCCTTAGCTGCCCACCCCTCTCTGCCTTCTTTTCCCCTTGTCAGCATCGCTTCTTGATTTTCACCCTTCCAGGCAACCATGTTCTTCTCTGTGACTCAGATCAGAGAGGTGCAGGGACTTTCCCAGCGACACACAGCACATGCATGGCAGGGCCAGCATTCCAGCTCGGGTCACTGGTTCTGGGGGGTCCCCCTGGGAGCTGACGGGGTGGGTGGAATGCTCCAGCCACCCAAGAGCTAGGCTGACTCCTGACCGCGGCAGCCCCGGACGTGTGAGAAGGCATCAGGAAAGACACAGGTTTGCCAGGCAGGTGCAAAGGTGCGCTGACCTGCAGAGTCTGGCGACAGGTGCCTGTGACTCCCCCTGAGCCGTCGCAGCAGGTGATCTCGGCTCACACGGGCCCGGGCCGGTCAGGCCAGTCTGCCCTGATCCGGAGTGCAGCGTCCTCCGGGTGGGACCTAGACGCTCTTTCCTTGGGAGACGCAGGGCTCTGCACACGGACACGAAGCTTTGCCTCACAGACGCCTCAGCAGCTTCCCCCCCCCCCCCCCCCCCCGGCAGTCAGTCGGGAGCCAGAGCCTGGTGACAGAGAAGGAACAGCCAGGGTGTCTGAGGGTCACGATGTGACCCACAACCAAGAAAAGGAAAAAACCCACAGCATGTTCTCATCCTTGTTTTCCCTTCCAAATATTGATGCTGCTCTTACTCCCTTCATCCTGCCATTTCCCGGAGACGTAGAAACAGTTTCCTGTGTGGGCAGATTGTTTTAAGATGCTGGGAGAGAGAGACAGAGACAGAGACAGAGACAGACAGAGAGAAGGAAGGAGGGAGAGAGGGAGGGAAGGAGGGAGGGGACAGAGGGAGGGAGGGAAGGAGGAGTCTGAGTATGAGTTTCAGTGTGTGTGTGTGTGTGTGTGTGTGTGTGTGTGTCTGTGTATGTCTCTATGTGAGGGCGGCTCTGACGGGCCACGGGGGCTGGTGCTGGTGTAAAGTGCAGCTGCTAGCCTTTGATCCAGAGTGGGTTGTGCATGTGTGTATCTCTGTGTGTTGCTGTGTATCTGTGCATTTGTATCTGTGTGTGTCTGTGTATCTATGTGTGTGTGTCTCTGTGTGTCTGTGTGCATGTCTGTGTCTATGTATATGTCTGTGTGTCTGTGTATATGTGTCTGTTTCTGTGTGTTTGTGTGTATATCTGTGTGTCTGTGTGTATCTGTGTATCTGTGTATCTGTGCGTCTGTGTATGTGTGTGAGTCTGACTGTGTGTCTGTGCCTGTGTCTGTGTGTCTGTGTGTCTGTGTATCTGTGTGTGTCTGTGTACACCTGTGTCTGTGTCTATGTCTGTGTTTGTGTGTGTTTCTGTGTATCTGTGTGTCTGTGTGTTTCTGTGTATCTGTATGTGTCTGTGTGTCTATGTGTATCTATGTGTGTGTCTGTTTGTGTATCTGTGTGTCTGTGTATCTGTGTTTGTCTGTGTGTGTTTTTGTGTATATGTGTGTCTGTCTGTTTGTGTGTCTGTGTGTGTATCTGTGTATGTCTCTGTGTGTATCTGTGTATGTCTCTGTGTGTATCTGTGTATGTCTCTGTGTGTATCTGTGTGTGTTTCTGTTTATCTGTGTGTGTCTGTGTGAATCCACTTTTCCCTTTGGAAAGGTTGGTTTCAGTTCATTCCTGATTGCTTTAGCGCAGCTCGAGGGCCTGGGCTCTGTGCAGGGTGAAGTAGGGGTGCGGCTCTTCCCCTGCTCCCCAAGGTCAGCTGTGTTATGAGACTCCTGAAAGGAGGAGGAGGCTGGGCTCCGTACGCAGGACCCGGACCCAGGACCTTGAGCCGGTGACGGTCAGTCAGCCTGCAGCCAAGTACCACCCCCTCCAGCATAAGGGGAAGTGCCGAATCCAGGGGTTGGGGGGCCGGGGAGCCCAGGAGTGAGGTGGTGCCTGGTTCCACCCCCGAACACCGTCAGGGGTCACTCCTGAGTGCAGAACCTGCAGAAGCCCCTGAGATCTGTGGGGGTGGTCCGAAGCCCCACTGGGCAGCGCAGACCCACGCTGAGTGCCCTGAGCCCGTGTCCACTGCGAGTGCAGGCATGTGTCTCTCCTTCCCCCATCCTGGGACCGTTTCCGAAGCTCAGGAACTTCCTTTGCCGATTCGTGCAGCCCTCCCAGGCCTTTTCTCTACCACGGTCAGTTTACGCGAGACTTTGCTTCCTAACGCCGCGGTGAGCGTCCTCCAGCCCAGAGCCACCCGACAGATGCAGAGCAGGGTGTGAGCTGGATGTTTGGTGGCCGAGAGTCAGAGCTCCCAGACCTCAGCTGGGCTCTGAGGGACAGGTCACCTACCAGGGGTCTCGGGGGTCCGAGACAGCAGTGAGGGGCTATCTACGGGTGCTGCAGGTGGCCAGCGTGGACACAACGTCAGCTTCCGGGGATCTAGGGGTACCGGGTGAGACAGATGAGCCCCAAGCACCCCATTCCTCCTCCCTGCCCCTGGGGCCTCCAGCCTCTGAGCCACGGGGAAGCTCCCTGAGTGCTGTAGACCCTGCCTGGGCTGGGATCTTGAGGCTGAATCTGCCCGGCGGTCCTCACCCCTGCCACAGCAGCCCTCCTCACCCCTCCACAGCACCTCCCTCCCCCTGACGCTCTCACCCGTCCCCTGGGGATCATGTGGGCCGGGGCCTGAGGCTCTGCATTTCTCAGGGCTCCCCCTTGAGAGGGGCCGCTTGTCCCCCCCCCATCTGTCTCCCTCCCAGCCCTGTCACGCTCAGGGGATCTCTGCCGTTTTCAGAAATTATTCCACTCTGTGGGAAAGGCAGGAAATGGCCAACAAAGAGTTGTTGTGTTCTCTGCCTGTAATCGTGACTCCTGTGTGTGTGTGAGTGTGTGTGTGTGTGTGTGTGTGTGAGAGAGAGAGAGAGAGAGAGAGAGAGAGAGAGAGAGAGAGAGAGAGAGAGAGAGGAGAACAGCTGGGCCCCTCCCTGGCACCCCATTCCACAGGAGAGATTCCTGAGCACAGAGCCAGGAATGAGCCCTGAGATCAGCTGGGTGTGACCCCAAACAGACCAAAATTACAGTGTCCTTTCTGGTGGCCAGTTTACAAGCCCCCTGGGGAGAGGAGCAGTTGTCTATGGAATGTCCCCAAGCAGGGTCTGGCCTGTTTCTCATGGAACTTTGATCCATCTTGAAAGTGTCGGTCACACGGCGTGTGGAACCCCTGATTATGTCTCACCTCTATGTTTGCCACACCTGGCGGTGCTCAGGGCTCTCTCCTGGCAGGGCTCTGGGACCCTCTGGGATCCCGGTATCAAACCCAGGTGTGCTGTGTGTGAGGAGGCAGGAGCCCTCCCCGCCGTCCTGTCTGTCGGTTGGACTCTGGTTATGTCCCACCTCCGTTGGTCCTGAGCAGGGGGGTTTCCACAGCCGTCTTTGCTGCCCAGCGTGTAACCGGCGTCCAGCGGCCAAGTAATGACAGACGCCCCATCCCGTGCCTTGTCTCAGCCCCTCCCCCATCGGGCAGGCGGGGGACCTGCTCTGTGTGGCTCAGGCCACAGCTGGGACCTCTGATGACGGACTCAAGACTCAGGGGAGCGGGCAGCGTCAGTTTGAAGTCCCGGGGCCTGATTCCAGAGCCTTCCGCCACCGTGCCCTGCACCCCCATTCTGGCCACCGAAAACTCGGGGGGAGCCACGGGGGGACATGAACATGTAATTTCACTTTGCAAGGCTTCAGGCGCAGTGGCTGTCTCCAGCCCTGGGCTGGAAGCACCGGAGACGCTGAGAGACTTTACGAGTCAGTCCGTGACCCTCAGCCCCGCACGGTTGAGGCCCCCCAGAGACACCGAGCATCATTGGTCCTCGTGGGAACAGCCCGGTGCTGCGTTTGCAAGGAGCCCCCATGCCGAGGGTTCCTCAGAAGCCCCAAGGCAGAGGCGTCGGCTCGGGACAGACAAACAAAAGGAAGTTGGCGCGCGGGCACCGCTGGTGACTCATGGCCAGTGGAAAACGGCCGTCACTCAGCCCCACGCCTCCCAGGGGCAAGCAAGGCGGCGCCCGGCCAGGACAAACACCGAGTGTCGTTTCTGCTGCTGCCCGTAGCTCGGGGTGGCCGTGGGCAGGCCTGGGCAGACGGGCCGAGCCTGGGCTTGGAAGTGTCAGGACACCTGCTTGGGATCAGGAGGGGGATCGGGTCAGCTCAGCCACTGTGTGTGTGTGTCCCCCCCACCTGCCCCCGGCCTGGGTGGGAAACGGGGGAATCAGCCCGTGTCCCTGTTGACACTGGGAGGCGGGACTCTGCCTCCCTGGCAGCAGGTGAGGAGTGGGTTCAGGGCCAGCCGCTGGGCGAGGTGGGTCCTGTCTGAGTCCCCAGCACCTGCCCTGGTGGTCACGGTATGCAGAACTGGGCCCGAGGGCTTGGCTGGGACCCCATTTGTCTGTTGGCTTCACCGTCCCTTCAGACTTGGCCCCGTGAGGTCTGGGGGTGTGCAGACCCCACGCGTCTGCCCACGGCCATCGGCATGAGATACAGGAGTGGGTCGGGCGGGGTAGTGGGCAGGGCTGCTGCCAGGACGCCTAGTCATGTGGACACCAGCCCTGCAGACGTGCCTGTCTCTCTTGGCTTCTCTCCTTTGGGGGCAGAGAAGGTCTGGGGTCACAGCCAGCTATGCTCGGGGGGCAGGTGCAGGGGCAGGAAGCTCGGGGCGGAGCCATGCTCTGGAGTTACTCCTGGCTCTGTGCTCAGGGATCACTCCAGCAGCGCCAGAAATGGGACCAGGCTAGCGGGGCGTGAACCCTCGAGCTGGGCCCTCAGGTCTGCGGCTTTCCTGGACAGCCGCGGTCTGGGAGGTCAGCTTGGAGGACAGGACCGCCTTGCCCTACAGATACTGTCCCCCAGCTTGGGGCCGCAGCCCTGGGCCGAGGAGAAAGCGACACTCTAGACCAGACACACTCAAGTGTGAGCCGGGACTTGGGAGTCCCCGGACAGCTCACCCGGTCCCCGTGACTTCAGTTGGGGGCACTGTTTCAGGACCCTGGGGCACAGAGCCAGTGGGGGCACAGGTGGGGGGTACCCAGATCCAGAGGCTCGGCACCCCTTCCCCTGCGAGCAGCCGACCACTGGGAGCTCTGTCCCTCCAGGCCCCTTGCTCCTGTGGGCATCCACACGGGCCAGTCCACAGGGGCCAATCACCAGATAGTTTGTTTCCAACTTTGCAGGGAAAGAAAGGTCTGCAAGGATGTATCGGGAACCCGCAGGGTTACAGTGTTGCCTTGTTTTGGGAAAGCTAAGGAGGCCCCTTTGCCATGTGGGCGAGATACTCTCAGTAGCTTGCCAAGCTCTCCGAGAGGGGAGGAAGGGCTGGAGCGATAGCACAGCGGTAGGGCGTTTGCCTTGCACGCAGCCAACATGACCGACCCGAGTTCGATTCCTCCGCCCCTCTCGGAGAGCCCGGCAAGCTACCGAGAGTATCTCGCCCGCAAGGCAAAGCCTGGCAAGCCACCCGTGATATGCCAGACACAGTAACAACAAAGTTTCCAATGGAGACGTTACTGGGCCCGCTCGAGCAAATCAATGAACAACGGGAGGGCCTTTACCTTTACCTTTTAAGGAGGCCCCTAGGCAGGAGGCCTAGGAGGGGCCACGCAGCCGGCAGAGGGAAGGAGAGAAGGAAAGTGTGTAGGTCCGGGAGTCAGGGCATCCTGGCAGCCCCGGGGAGCTCGCTCACAGCTCACACTGGCCACGGGTGGCTGGAGTGATTCCTGAGTTCAGAGTCAAGACTAGCCCCTGAGCATCGCCAGGTGGGACAGGAAAGGAAAGGAGGAAAGAAAGGAGAAAGAGAGAGAAAGGAGAGAGAGAGAGAGAGAGAGAGAGAGAGAGAGAGAGAGAGAGAGAGAGAGAGAGAGAGAGAGACTGAATCACTAGCACGTGGGTAGGGCGTTTGCCCTGCATGCAGCCAATCTGGGTTCAATTTCCAGCATCCCATATGGTACCCTGAGCACCGCCAGGAGTAATTCCTGAGTGCAGAGCCAGGAGTAACCCCTGAGCACCGCCAGGAGTAATTCCTGAGTGCAGAGGCAGGAGTAACCCCTGAGCATCGTCAGGTGTGACCCAATAAGCAAAAGAAAGAAAGAAAGAAAGAAAGAAAGAAAGAAAGAAAGAAAGACAGTTCTTTGGTTCCAGAGTACTAGTACAGCAGGGAGGGCGCTTGTCTTCCACACAACCCAGCTTTGACCCCTGGGACCCCTTATTGTCCCCGAGTCCCACCAGGAGTGCTCTCTGAGCACAGAGCCAGGAGTCAGCCCTGAGCATTGCAGGGTTTGGACCTCCACCTGCCCCCAAACGAAGGGAGGGAAGCTTGTCCTTGGCCTGTCCACCAGGGACATACCCTCCCCTAAAGCACACGTGGAACCGGACCCAAGATCCAGAGCTTGGCACAGCTGCCACTGCCCACTCCCCGGCACTTCCTGGAGATGAAACTCGGGTGGCCAAGGGGCTAGTTGAGGGGCCGCACAGATGACCCTGGGGCTTCTCCCTGAGACTCAGCATGTGCTGCCCACAGCATGGCTGACCCAGCCACGTCGCCCTGCAGCAGGCCCCGGGCAGGCAAACCCCAGGTTTTCTGCATCACCACATGCTTAGACACGTACAAAATTTGGGTGGGGGGGGGGGGGGGTTGGGGTCCCCACCCAGCCCTGTGCGGTTCTTCCTGGGCAGAATCTCCCAGCTGGGAGATTCCTGGGCCTTCCCGCTGCCAACCGGAAGGAGCCACAGCGCCACCTTGTGGGGAAGCCCCGCCCCTGCACCCGCCCCTGGTGACACCACACTGATGGCCAGGTCCCCCGAGATGTGTCCCTGTCACCTGCCTGCCATGCTGATGATGGCTTCTTTGGTACTGAGGATAGTATTCGTCTAAATGAATTAACCCCAGGCCAGAAGGGCAGGTCAGCACCCGGTGGCCAGAAAGTGCCCGCCACAGGACCCTTCCCACCCTGTCTGAAGCCACCCCAAATCCCGGGGACCCTGCAGGTGGACCCTAGCCCCAGGGCTGTGATGAAGAGCTCCCAGCCGCTTCCTCCTCCGTGACCCCAAGCCCCTCCTGTGCCCCCCCCCCCCGTGAAGCGTCCTGCTGACACCATGTCCTTCTTGTCTTCCAGCCCCCCTAAGCCCACCGTGTTCATCTCTGGAGTCATGGCCCGGGTAAGCACCGGCTGTGCCGCTCAGCTGAGGAGCGTGGGGGGTGGGGGTGGGCTTGGGGCTGGGCAGGGGGCCTTGTCCTGGCGAGGACATCAGAGATGGCAGCACTGGGCCCCTCTAGGCCCCTCGCCCCGAGCAGACAGAGCAATGGGATGGGGGTGTGGGGCCCTCCCTTGTACTGACCTCCCCGCCCCGCCCATGTCCCCCCCGCAGGGCGACAGAGACTTCCCCCCGGAAGCTGCCCAGGTGGCCCACCAGAAGCCCCGCGCCTCCATGGACAAGCACCCGTGCCCAAGAACCCAGCACATCCAGCAGCCCCGCAAGTGACCGCCCCCCGGCCCCCGTGCCCCGCCACAAGGAGCGTCTCCCCCTGCCCGCCCCCGGAGGCCCCCCTCCGCCTGAAGCCCTGGCCTCAGCCCAGGACACCTGGTCGCCTTTGGAAAAGCATCGTGTTCCCCCCAACAAGGGCCGCTGGGCAGGGGCTGAGACCCACGTCCAGGGCAGCTGACCCAGAGTCGCCGTGGATCTGTGTGGCTCATCACTGCGTGTCAGGCCCAGGGCAGAGAGAGCAGGGCCCGAGTGCCCGGGTGCCTGTGCCCACGGGGATGCTTTGGTCTCAACCCCAGCATTGCTGGGTATGACACAACCACCCCCCAAGAAAAACAGGGGCCGAGAGATGATAGTACAGGGGTAGAGGCACTTGCCTGGCACCCGGCCGACCCCGGTGGAATCCCAGCTCCACATGTTTCCCTGCGCACCACCAGGGGTCGCTCTTGAGCACAGCTAGGAATAGCCCCTGGGCACCACCTGGGTGAAGCCCCCTCCCTCTACCCACACACACATACACACCAGAAAGCACAGATTTTGGAAGATTGGATTAAGATGGGGGACCAGCTCAGGCTTTGAGGGGTGGGCAGGGAGTGCTTGGCATTGGACGAGAGAGCGTTCCCGCCCAGGGTGGCACGCAGCCCGCCCACTCTCCCACCCTCCCCTCCTCCCGCACGCTCTGTCCCAGGAGTCTCTGGCTGGACACGAGTGTAGGCAGTTGGCCCAGAGGGGTCCCAGCATGGCCCCAGACCAGTCTCACCGGAAACCCAACCCTTCGGTCCCCCGCGCTGTCCAGCGGTCACCTGCAGAGCTGCCGTGAGCTGGGCCGGGGCAGCAGACTTCCCACTGCTTCTGGAACTGTGTTCTCCCCGGGACAGCTCCAAGCCGTGGGTCGGCCAGTGGCCCCCAGCCCCTCCGCCGGCCATGTCCAGAGCTCTGCCCTTCCTGCGCTGGTGTCCAGCACAGAGCCGCCCGAGGCCGTGGCTGCCCAGGGCCGGGACCAGCCCCGGGAGGGGTCTCTGGGTACCTGGATCACTGAATGGGCACTGTTGGACGGGGCGAGGGCAGCCAGCAGGAGACGCACCTGGACCATCGCGGGCCCTAGGAGGCGGGTCCTGTGCTGTGGAGTCTGGGGTCCCCGATCGATCGCCAAAACCTGGGGTCCTCTGCGGCTGGTCGGCAGCCTCCTCCATCTCCGGGCACTCGCTCAGACTGTGCCCAGCCTGCCACTGCCAGCAGCCAAGACCCCTCCTGGCTCTCTCTGCCTCCTGCCCGCCCCCTGCTCCGGCTGCCGCTGGGCTCTGGGTGCAGATCTCCCCTGGGACAGGCCAGTGGCAGCCGCAGCAGGAATCAGACGGTTCTAATAAAGCGCCTGGACCCTTATCCTGGTTCTCTCTGTCTCAGACTGTGCCTTGCCCTTCTCTGGGGTGCCCGGACGTTTACATAATGGCTCGTTCCTAGGGACCAAGCAAGCCAGGGTGGGTGCCCGGCGCCTGGTGCTGTTCCGCCCGGCAGCTGACCCCTGGTTACAGAGGGGCGGCCGGACAGGAGAGGCGGGACATCTGGGAAGGCATCTGAGTGCAGACCGCAGCAACTGCACGCGGCTGCAAATCCCCAGAGCGCCACCAGGGGTCGCCCTGAGCACAGAGCCAGGAATAGCCCCCCCGGCACTGCTGGATGTGGTCTGACCCTGCCCCCAAAATAGTGGTGAGTTGGGGAGCTGGAGGCTGGTGAGGGACAAGACTGTCACCCCCACCCAAGGTACCTGGGGCCCTGGGAGAGGCTGGCGGAGAGCTGCAGTCTCCCCAGGGTCCAGAGCGTGGGGGAAGGGGGGCGGAACACTTTACTCTGAATTGACGCATCTTCTGTCCCGAGGCTCCGGTTATAAATGATGCCCTGGGGAAGGGGAGACGAGACAGTGGGGGGGGGGGGGGGTTGCTTGCCTTGCATGGCCCCATCCCCAGCACTGCAGGAGGGATGCAGGAGCACAGAGCCAGGAGCAAGCTCTGAGCACTGCCGGGCACAAGGTCTTAAAGGAAAGAACAAACCGCTTTAAGCCAAGGAAACAGCTGTACGGACAGCCCGCCTGGCGCTCGCAGGGTGGCATGGACAGGTGTCTGGGGTGCTGCACCCGGCCTGCCCTTAGCCGTGCTCGGGGAGAGGAGAGAGGATGGAAGGCGGCCACGAGTGCCACAGCGGGGCCTTCCCTGGCGGTGGGGGCGAGTCTGTGTAGGAGCAGGGCCCAGGGATGGAAGGTCCAGCCTGGCAGGACGGCAGGTGGGAGCCTGGGTTGAGGCACCAAGTGCCGACTGCCCGGGTCCCGTGTAAGGTCCCGGCCTGAACCCCCTGGAGTGTGCACAGCTGAGCCCGTGGGGGCCTCTGGGGAGCCGGGCTGCCATGGCCACAGACCCGTGGCCCCATGGAAAGCAGGCCTGGGGCAGGAAAGACCACAGCAAAGTGGGGAGCCCAGCCAGGCTCGGAGCCCCATCCCTGACCTTAGGGCAGGCAGGAGGCAGGGGAGGGGCCGTCACTCTGCTGACTGATCCCCCAGTGTACCCTGGACTCCGCCCTCCACTCTTCCTATCCCCCACCTGCCCAGCTTCCCCACCGGTGAAATTCTGCTTTCCACAAACCCCAGATAAAGGGTTTTTCTCCCCAGGACTTGGCATCCTGCTGGGCTTCTCAACAGTGACAAAACAAAAGCAAGACAAAGCATTGCATAACCGCCCCAGCGGGCACCCTCTGCCATCTGCTCGGAAGGGGGGGTTGAGGGGACAGTCACCAGAGCCACAGCCACTTTCATTTCCTCAGTTGCTGTGACATTCAGGGGGGTCTCCAGAAAGACAGCCCCCCCTGGGGTGTCGATTGGTACAAAGAAGGAAATGCAGATGCAAAAGTAGATGGGAAGGATTGGGGACTGGAGCGACAGACAGCACAGCGAGTAGAGTAGGGCATTTGCCTTGCACGTGGCCGACCCGGGTTTGATTCCCAGCATCCCTTTTGGTCCCCCAAGCACTTCCAGGAGTGATTCCTGAGTGCAGAGCCAGGAGTAACCCCTGAGCATCGGCTAGGTGTGACCCAAAAAATAACAAAAAAAAAGTAAATGGACAGGATGGATGGGTGGATGGATGGTTGGATGGATGGATGGATGGATGGATGGATGGATGGATGGATGGATGGGTGTGTGGGTGGATGGATGGATGGATGAGTGGATGGATGGATGGATGGATGGATGGATGGATGGATGGATGGATGGATGGATGTGTGGATGGATGGATGGACGGATGGATGGATGGGTGGGTGGATGGATGGATGGATGGATGGATGGATGGATGGGTGTGTGGGTGGATGGATGGATGGATGAGTGGATGGATGGATGGATGGATGGATGGATGGATGGATGGATGTGTGGATGGATGGATGGATGGATGGATGGATGGATGAATGGATGATGGGTGGATGGATGGGTGGATGAGTGGATGGATGGGGTGGGTGGGTGGGTGGATGGGTAGGTAGTTGGGTGAGTGGATGGATGTGTGGATGGATGGATGGATGGATGGATGGATGGATGGATGGATGGATGATGGGTGGGTGGGTGTATGGATGGATGGATGGATGGATGGATGGGTGTACAGACGGATGGACGCGTACATGATAGAGGCACGGCAGAGAGAGATGCGTGATCATTGGTAGGTTGGTTTTAGGAGTTGACTCTCCTTTTCGAGGAGGCTGGCAACTACGACATCTGCAGCATTGACCAGCAGGGGGCAGACTGAAGCCATAGAGCAGAAAGCCAGCTGCCACTGGGCGGTGCTGGGAATGGGACAGCCTTGGAAGGGTGGGACAAGGCCCAGACCCATCCGTGCTGCCATCTGCTTCACCTCAGTGCCACTAACGGTGAATCTCCCCCCAGAACACCCTCCCAGAATCTTCCAGAGTAAGGAGTCCGCACTGTGCCCGCTGAGTGGATGCATTAAAAGAACTGCCACGTGTGAGGAGGGGTGTGGCAGGAGGGGACAGTGTCGGCCTCGCATGTGTGAGGTCTGGGTTCTCTCCCTGGCAACGCAAAAAACAGATCATGGTCACACGCGTTCATCGTCACTCACTTTTCCATGTCTCCACATCAGGGACAATGACCTCTGGGCTCTGGTTTGACCTTGATCTTCTGACCAGCTGAAAGTCTCTCTGCCTTGTCCTAATTTGTAACTTGCTCTTCTAGAAAGAATTCCTAAAAGTCAACATCAAGGGCTGGAGCGATGGCACAGCGGGTAGGGCGTTTGCCTTGCACGTGGCCGACCCAGATTCGATCCCCAGCATCCCGTATGGTCCCCCGAGCACCGCCAGGAGTGATTTCTGAGTGCAGAGTCAGGAGTAAGCCCTGTGCATCGCCGGATCGCCGGATGTGGTCCAAAAAGAAAAGAAAAAAAAACATTGATGAGAAACACACCCCGCCCCCGTCATCTTCTTTAGCCCTAAATATTAGGATGTGTCCATCAGCCATGCTTTCAAAAACAGAGCCAGGAGTTAACGGGGAGGGTGCTGGCCTGGCCCAGGTGAGGTTCCCCAGCACCATACATGGTCCCCTGAGCCCTGCAAGCAGCGATCCCTGAGCACAGAATCAGGAGTCAGCCCCAAGTGTTGCCAGATGTGGCCCCCAAACAAAGGACGAAGCAAAACAAGAAGCAATATGTCAACAGGAAAAGGTCCGGTCTGATCAGCTGTGATGAGCTGGTGGAAGCTGGAGGGTTTGGAACGCGGCCCAGAAGCCTGGATACGTTTCTGGTTACATTTCTGCCTTGTCCCTTGCTGCCGGTCTGGGTGACTCAGATGGAGGGTACAGGCCGGAGAGCTCAGCAGGCAGGGCACCTGATCCACGCACCCCCTCCCCGACCGCATGTCCCCTGACCCCTCCAGGAGTGACGCCTGAGTGCCGAGCCAGGACTAACGCCCTAGTACTGCAGGGTGTGGCCCAAAAACCAAACTATACAAACAAACTCAAACAGGGCCGTGGGGGCAGAGAAGCCTTAGCGGTAGGACGGGAGCTCTGACCCTTGCCCTGCAAGTGTCCCATCCCAGTCTGACCCCCAACACCTACTGGACCCCCTGAGCACAGAGCCAGGAGTGGCCTCTGAGCACGGCCAGCCAGTACCGTTTAAAGACGCAAATAAATAGGGAGTACAATACTTTGGAGCAAATCACACAACCCATTTGTGGGAATCTTTAGAGAGGTCCCGAGAACAGGAACTGAGCTAAGAGCAGAATCGCTTATGTCACTGTGTCCAGGTCAGCGCTGTCTCCTGAGGAGCCCCCTCGACCCTCCCCCCCAACACCTGCCAATCACTGACCATCACTATGTCCAGATCAGCTGTCTACCTGCGGAGCCCCCTCCACATTCCCCCCAAACACCTGCCTGTGTCCCTAGACTCTGATTGTCTAAGGGGGCTGGGGGTGTTAGTGGGTCTCATCCTGACGAAAAGGGGTGCTCATGGGTCGTACTTAGCCCAACGCAGGGCTGCTGCTAAAAATGCCCCAGGGCACAGGACAGTCCCCTGCAGAGAGTGACCCCCGGCTGCCCTGGGTCGAATCTCAGCAGTTCCCACGGGATGATGGCGATTGTGAGGATGCAGATGCACTCCTAGATCAAGGGGGCCTTTTCCTTCAGGAAAGCACGCCACAGACCCCCATGGAAGGGGCGAGACAAGACTCCCGGGACGCCCCCCTGCCAGGCTGGCACAGGCCTGGCCGGCCTCATGGGACGGGGGTCTCCCTGGACATCTCTGGAATGAGGGTGGGCCTCGGGGTCAGCAGCACAGCATGGTCCAGGGGGCGGGGGGGACCTCGGCGGGGGCCAAGGGCTGCACCCCAGGTGGGAGGATGAGGCCCAGAGGCAAAGGTCACCTCCTCCCCTTCCACCCCCTGGCTACCCGCTGCCTCCCCACTACCATTTCTATCACAGATGGAGGAGTCAGGGGCAGCCCTGAGCTCCTGGGTGGGGGTGGGGGGTGCCACGCCCCCAATGCCCCAGACACTGTCCGCCTGGCGGTCCTGCGCTTTGCCGGCAGTAACCGACTAGCCCTGGGAAGCAAGGCAGACACCCGGCTCCACGCACTGGGCCCAGCATCGTGCTGAGACATTCACCTCATCACAGCCCCACACCTCTGGGGTGCACGAGGCACTCGCGCCCCTGCCTCTGGACAGAAACTTCCAGAGAGACATTCCAAGAGGCGTTGCTGGCCCAGTGCGTATGACGGCCGGGGTGGGGGCTGAAGGCGTGTGCATGGAGGGGCCGGGGCCGCCCCAGCTGGACTCACCAGCGAAGATGAGGCTGCTGTGGCAGCGCTGTGTCCCCGGGGCTGCCCGGCCCGCCCACGTGCCAC